CATCATTTAAATTTTGATCATGTTCAGCGAAAATACGTGCTATTGCTGGATCACGTGTTGTTGAAAAAAATCCATTTGTTGATATTAAATTATTGATATTATTTTGTAATTTTTCAATTCCATTTCTATTCATTTTTGTTGTGTTAATAATAAGTGTTTCAACACAAAAATAACCAATATACTTCATTTGGTTGAAACACTTAGTTCAAGTCATATGAATTCACTCGGTTCAAGATTAATTAAAACTGACCGTCACCATAATGAAATTAATCGAGACGAAGAAGATGTAACTTTAATTTGACTTTTCGGTCAGAATGATCGCCAATGTTCGATTGATAATAACGGTGCACTAAAGTATACTGATCAAGGTCAATGTATAAATTATATAAGATCAAGTAATGCTAATGCTAGTATCTTTCTTATTCTAAATTTAAATTATATCAATCAAATTTTACCTTACATACATTATTTACAGCAGATTAAATTTATATTCGTTTATGAGTTTCAGGAACAATTAAATAAATATAAAGCTGATGTTTGTAAACAATATTTACCAAAAGTTTATAAAAATCAAATATTTACAAATAATATTGAGTTGGTTGAATGTATAAATAAAGAAATAAATCGTATACAAAAACAATTATTAACGTTTCAATTATTTGATCAAAATCAACAAAAATCATTGAAAGATTTAAACAAAGAATCAGCATCATTTTTATATTCACAATTATTTTATTATTTATTACGACAAATGTCAAAGAATGAACAATCAAAACAGGAAATGCTTGATACATGTATAAACTATTATCAAGATAATCAAATTGAATTAGGAAGATAGATCATTTTCATTTGAAATATGAATCGAAAGATGCTATAAAATGGTATACAAATGACAGTTTTGTTTACCGACTATTGAATAAAGCGTTGAGAACAGATAACATTGAGCTATTATATACCTTTCGTTATTACATTAATGATCTTTGTTCACATATAAATGAATTATATCAACAACAAATGGAAAATACAACAAATAACATTATTGTATTATACCGTGGACAACATATGACAGTTATGGAAATTGAAAAATTACAAAATAATATCAATAATTTAATATCAACAAATGGATTTTTTTCAACAACACGTGATCCAGCAATAGCACGTATTTTCGCTGAACATGATCAAAATTTAAATGATGGACTAGTAAGTGTTTTCATTCATATTGAAATTGATCTCAATGAGACAAAAACTAGTGTATTTACTGACATTGAACAATTTAGTTTGATACCGGATGAACGTGAAGTCATTTTTAATATATCATCAGTATTCATAATAACTAGTTTGAATTATGATAGTGAATCTCAAATTTGGAATTTAGTTTTGAAAGCTACTGATCAAGGTAGAAATCTAGTTCAAGAATACATTTATTTACTTGAACAAAGATTTAGATGAAACTAATGTTAATGTTCTATTCGGTAATGTTCTAATTGATATGGGTCAATATAGGAGTTCGGAAAAATATTTAAATTCACTATTGCTAGATAGAACTTTAACTGATGAACACCGTGGCTCCATTTATTGTACACTTGGTCGTGCTCTTGGTCGTCAAAGTAAATTGCAGCAAGCAATTGAAAATTATGATTGTGCAATCAAGCTATTACGTAAACCATCAACTGTTGCCTATTGTCTCTACTATATTGGAAACATGTTTGTCATTAAAAATGACTATGACAAAGCTATTGATATTTATAAACAAGTACTTGATATTCAAAGCACACAAGTGATTCCATCCTCGCTGAATGAACGCCGTTTAGCTCATACTAATGCCGGTTTAAGTTGGGCTTTTCAAAAAAAAGGCCTGTACAATGAAGCACTAGACTATAGTTTAAAAGCATTTGAAATTAAACAAAAACATTATCCTACTAGTCATCCAGCCATTATACAAAGTTTAAATTTTATTGGTTCGTTATATGAAGAATTTCAAGGTCAATATGATTTAGCTCTTAGTTACTTTAATTTAGCTTATGAACATTGTGAAAAAGCACACAAACAAGATCATCCACATGTTGGAGATACCCTATCGAATATTGGGACCATTCATTTAAAGAAAGGTGATTATGATATTGCATACTATTATTTTGATCGAGCTTTAAATATAAGAGAGAAACGTAATAAACAGTCGCTAGCAGTTGCTTCTAGTCTAGATTCGATTGGTAATATTCATCGATATAAAAAGCAATACGATCAAGCGTTGAAATGTCATTTTCGTGCTTTGAATATTCATCAAAGTATATTAAAATCAAATGATTTAACATGTAGTTATAGTCAACATCATCTTGGTAATGTTTATTACGATATGAATAATTTTGAATTAGCAAAATTTTATTTACAACAAGCATATGAAACCAAAAGGAAATGTTTAGGGGATGAACATTTATCAACTTGCCGTACATTATGCTGTTTAGCTCCGTTGTATGATAACGATGAATTAGCTTTGAACACATATCAGAAAGTATTAAATATTCAGCAACAATTATTTCCAAAAAATAATCATCCAGATATTGGTATTACATTTTTGCAAATGGGTAACTTTTATCGTTATCGAAAAATGGATTATCACCATGCATTAGAATATTATGCACAATCATTCAATATTAAACAGAAACTTTTAGGTGACAATCATCCGGAAACCATCTTTGTTGCAAACAGTATTGAATGTATGAGGGGTACGATGGGATATGATCAGCCTTGTTCTGTAGCGTATTTTCCAGAGCGAAAAAGTTTTATATCTAGCGCGGCACGTAGTGGAATTAACGACCATTTTGTGTGATATTTTTCAAGCAAGAAAACGTAAAATCTAAAAAGGTATATCGTCGGTACAACACTGAGGTTGGTCGCTAGCGACAGTTATTTTAAACTCTTTATTTTATCGGATGCAAGGCACCCATTTTTGATACAATTGGCAATATAAAAAAAACAAAGGCTGGACGAAGAACGGTCAATGACATTATGTTGCTACGAAATTTTAAAAAAGAATTTTTATCAATATGATTCATTTATTTAAAAAAATAAAGAAATAATTGTAAATGAAAAATTCTCAAATTTTCAAAGGGTAGGGTAGGGCCAGGGCTCAAAAACTTTTCGCAGGTTAGGGCAAGGACTCCGTAAACAGTTATTCTGCACATCTCTAGTTCGGACCACAACCAAACGTTCTACTACCATACTACATAAATCATGTTCTAACCGTTAACTCACTTTTGAATATAAAATACTTTAATTTCAATAAATCTGGGAACATGCATGTCAGTACAATTGGTAAAGTCGCGTTTCGCCAATAGACATTCGCCATATTGGCGATTGGTGAATGTCTCGGCGACACTTGTCCTCAGGACAGTGGGCAACTAAGCGGACATTAGGCCAAAAAGTCGATTTCGAGTGTTTTAAAAAATAAATAGTCCAAAATGTAGCCCTTTAAATTCTCTATCCAATGGTGTATAAATGT